GACCAGTTCCGTCGCCGTCCCCCTTCTCCACATTTAGTTACAATAGTATAGTCATCAGTCAGGCCCTTCCCTGTCGTCCACGCTCTTGCTAAGTCCATCCACGCCCCACCCCTGTGAGCACCACTCCAAATATGCCTGCTTGAGGTCCCAGCCACCACACATTGCAGCTTTGACCAAGACACTAGCTAAGCAATGGGCTGACCGTGCTGCACACTCACACTGATTTTATTGTTGAGTTATGGAAGGACTTTACTGTCATTTAACTTGCTGGTCATTTGCCTTTCTTTTAATATCTTTGGAATGCAGACAGGCCTTGAATCCAGTAAGTAGGCTGTCACTGAATGTGTGATGCTATAAAATGTTGGTAATTATTTTAAAAATGTTAGTCAACTGAATACTGAACAGAATTAGCAGCACCTGTCTTTTGTACTTTATGCTTTTTTTTTTTTTTTTTTGAACTGGGGATTGAACTCAGGCCCTTGCACTTGCCAGGGAAGCACTTATTCCACTGAGCCATCTACCCGGCCCCACTTTATGCCTTTTTGCTACTTATTTTGTTTGATTTCCCACCCTTCCCTGCAGAAGGGGCTCCACAAGAAAACTTTATGCTAAATGTAGACTTTCTTATAAACCAGCTGGGACAACTACCCTGACTTAACATCCCAGCTCTAATCTATACTGCGATGATATCACGATATCACTGTGCCAGTTTGCCATGAAACAAGAAAGCAAAGAAACTCCTACAATGACTAACCAGCCACTCCTTGCAGAAATCAAGGTCCAAAGAAGCTAATGCATATGCTCCCCAAAACGCAGAAGACATACATTCTGTGCAGTCTCGGGGGCATCCACTGAGAACAGTTCCCTTCTGGAACTGTTATAACTAAGTATATCATGTCGAACTAATTGCATCTTCTTTTTTATTGAACTTCCAAACTCTAAACTTAGACAAACCCTGTTCTTTATGATTAAAAACAGTACGTAAGGCATTTACATAATCCTTCTTGATCATTTCTGGGGGAAAACAGAAATATGTTCAATATACTGAAGTTTTACAGAATACGTAATTCATGTGCTCATAGTCAACACTGGGCAAAACAGAAAACAGCAGGTAGAAAGGAGTCGTCTCTCCCACAGTCACATCATCTACCCCATGTTTCCTGCATATTGCCATTTAGGGTTTTATAGACCAATTCCTGTACATGGTACTTTGCACTGCTTTTTGCAAGCTATTCAAGAGTAACTCTAGCTGCTTATGTTTTCCCGAACATCACGCAGGAAGGAACTGCTACAGTTAGCACATGGCTGATATGTTTCTATCAGAAGATAATTTTCCATGCACCTGGCATTTCTACAGCTGTAAGTCTTTTGGGCAAAGGCATTTACAGGCAATTTAACAATGTTTGTGTAAAGACATATTCCACAATGAAAATGCCTCCCTCCCCTTCCTGACATAGGTTTGTTCATATTCAGTGGTCACAAAAATAATGTCTCTGGAAGGGATAATAGACAAATTTGCCAAAAGTTCCTTCTACAATTTTTTTCTGTTGGAGGCTCCATTCAAGCCAGCTGTTCCCTTCCTAGGTATTTTTCCAAAAGAACTGAAAGCATCATACCTCATCAACCTATGAACACCCATGTTGATGGCAGTGCAATTTGTCATAGATAAATCTTGATGGGCCAAATGTCCATCAACTGAAGAATGGATAAAAAAAGAAATGACATTTTTTACACAATGGAGTATCATATAGCTATTTAAAAAAGATAAATTCTACTACATGCCCCAGCACCTCAGAAAAAAGCAGGGGTAGCAATTCTATTCTCAGACGGAGATGAGCTAGGAAACATGACCATGTTAAGCCATGCAGTTATATGTAAAAGATGAGCAAGGCAATGATCCAGAGAACATTCAGAAGATTCTTTAATCTAGGAGTTAATTGGAAAGATTCTCACCCTGACTAACTATATATACTGATACCTG